GCTCTGAACAGGGACTCCTGTCTTTCAGTGTCCTAGTATACAATCAACTTATCACCATTCTCATTTCAGTTCTCTCAAACTTGTGCATGTCATCCACTTTAACTGCCCATGTTTCAGTACCATACATTCTTCCCTACACTAAGAGGGAAGGTCCTCTTGCCATCAATAAAGGCAGCAGCTCCTAACCTTCCTCAACACTGATTGTGTCACCCAGGTAACACAGTCCAAGGATATATCCCCAATACTCAGTTTCTCCAGCCTTGCTATGGACACATATTTACTTGCATGTATTGTTTAGTTCACTTAAAGTCAGTGACAGCCTAAATTCTGTCCTTTACACCACTAAGATTCGGTATAAATTAAATTTTGAAACTGAATGGAAAGACCTACAAGATCTACCTCAAAGTATCACCTTGCCTAGTGAACCCTTCAAGTGAGTCCAGCTATACATGGCTCAACAGGCTATTTCTCTATTTGAAGTTCAATGATCTGCAGGCAAGGAGGCCCATTATTCCATGACATGCTTATCATTATTTCAACTCCCTACCTCATTTATCAGCTTAAAACTGCATTACAAGGACACAGTAAAGTGATAAATGACACATTGCCTCAGTCACATATGCTGGAGAACATTTTGCTTAAGTCACATGTCAAACTATCTAACTCACAGTCTCTTATTACTGCATCTTTGGTCTCATTCTTATATGTCTAGGTTCAAATAATCATAATTAAATACATTTCAGTTTGTGCTGAAATAAGTTATCCTTTATGAAAAACTACTAAAAATGAGTTGACAATTATGCTAGAAGGCTGACGAGATGTTAAATGAGTTAAAAACCAACCTACCAGGAGAAAAACTACACAATTTAATTTCAATCAAGAAAAAAAGTGTCTTACCTTAGAAAAATGTGAGTTGTGTTGAAATTCTCCCAGTTCAAGGAGTAACTTGTCAAGGGCTGTGTATGGCAGCCAGACTGGTGGTGCTGCTGCGTGAAGAGCGTTACTCAAGCCCACCTATCAACCAGTAATACATTATTTTAATATTAAGAAAGAAACTTTGGAGTATGAACCATAAACACTGAATTACAACCATTTACTGATGCTGATCACAGAAAACTGAAGGTCTCAGTCTAGGTAACTGTTAAGGGTTATCATATCAGGGAGTTTACTACTGAGCTGTCAATAAAGAGGAAGTTTGGCTGGCTTTTACTACTGAGCTGTTAATAAAGAGGGAAGTTTGGCTGGCTTTTGCTACTGAACTGTCAATAAAGAGGGAAGTTTGGCTGGCTTTTGCTACTGAACTGTCAATAAAGAGGAAAGTTTGGCTGGCTTTTACTACTGAGCTGTCAATAAAGAGGGAAGTTTGGCTGGCTTTTACTACTGAGCTGTCGATAAAGAGGGAAGTTCGGCTGGCTTTTACTACTGAACTGTCGATAAAGAGGGAAGTTTGGCTGGCTTTTACTACTGAACTGTCGATAAAGAGGGAAGTTTGGCTGGCTTTTACTACTGAGCTGTCTATAAAGAAGGACTACTGAACTGTCTATAAAGAGGGAAGTTTGGCTGGCTTTTACTACTGAACTGTCGATAAAGAGGGAAGTTTGGCTGGCTTTTACTACTAAACTGTCTATAAAGAGGGAAGTTTGGCTGGCTTTTACTACGGAGCTGTCTATAAAGAGGGAAGTTTGGCTGGCTTTTACTACTGAGCTGTCTATAAAGAGGGAAGTTTGGCTGGCTTTTACTAGGTATCAATAAGCAGGATGACCAAACTTCTGACAACCAGCCACAGAGCATAAGAGAAAATGGAAACATTAAAAGCAGGGGCCTTAATTATGACTGACAATTATATGTCATTACTGTACATCATTTATACTGAACATATCAAGCTAAGTGGAAGTTAACACGTTTACTCACCTGCTTGGTGCCGTGCCCTAACACACCATCCATGTACTGACAGGCTAACTTGACCGCCTCCTCCAGTAGGCCGTGACTCACATACAGTCTCAGCAGCTCCCCACAGTTACGTACCTGAGTTGAAGAGAAACACACTAGTGGGTCATGTTAGCTGAGGTGTGGCTGTGTACCTTAGTGTGGTGTGGCTGTGTACCTTAGTGTGGTGTGGCTGTGTACCTGAATGTGGTGTGGCTGTGTACCTGAGTGTGGTGTGGCTGTGTACAGGTGTGGCTGTGTAGTGTGGTGTGGGCCTGAGTGAGTGTGGTGTGGCTGTGTACCCTGTGAGTGTGGTGTGGCTGTGTAGTGTGGTGTGGTGGCTGTGGTAGGGGCTGTGTGCCTGGTGTGGTGTGGCTGTGTGCCTGTGTGCCTGGTGGTGTGGCTGTGTGCCTGGGTGGGGTGTGACATGTACCTGAGTGTGGTGTGGCTGTGTGCCTGGTGTGGTGTGGCTGTGTACCTGGGTGTGGTGTGGCTGTGTGCCAGATGTGGTGTGGCTGTGCCTGGGTGAGGGGTGTGGCTGTGTACCTGAGTGTGGTGTGGCTGTGCCTGGTGGGGTGTGTGTGCCTGGTGGGGTGTGGCTGTGTACCTGGTGTGGTGTGGCTGTGTGCCTGGTGGGGTGTGGCTGTGTGCCTGGTGTGGTGTGTGTGCCTGGTGTGGTGTGGCTGTGTGCCTGGTGTGGTGTGGCTGTGCCTGGATGTGGTGTGGCTGTGTGCCTGGTGGGGGTGTGGCTGTGTGCCTGGTGGGGTGTGGCTGTGTGCCTGGGTGTGGCTGTGGTGTGGTGTGTGCCTGAGTGTGGTGTGCCCTGGTGTGGTGTGGCTGTGTGCCTGGGTGGGTGTGGCTGTGTCCTGGTGGGTGTGGCTGTGTGCCTGGGGGTGTGGCTGTGTGCCTGGTGGGGTGTGTGTGTGCTGGGTGTAGGGGTGTGGCTGTGTGCCCCTGGAGTGTGGTGTGGCTGTGTGTGCCTGGGTGGGGTGTGGGTGTGGGGTGTGGCTGTGTGCCTGGGTGGGGTGTGGCTGTGTGCCTGGTGGGGTGTGGCTGTGTGCCTGGTGTGGTGTGGCTGTGCCTGGTGGGGGTGTGGCTGTGTGCCTGGTGGTGTGGCTGTGTGCCTGGGTGGGGTGTGGCTGTGTGCCTGGTGTGTGGTGTGGCTGTGTGTGCCGGTGGTGTGGCTGTGCCTGAGTGGGGTGTGGCTGTGTACCTGAGTGTGGTGTGGCTGTGTACCTGAGTGTGGTGTGGCTGTGTACCTGAGTGTGGTGTGGCTGTGTACCTGAGTGTGGTGTGGCTGTAAACTTTATAGTACAAGTGGTAAAGAATAGCAGGATGAAAGTCTACCAACATATCTACAGTGAAAGAGAAGTTATGGAAAATAATTGTATTCCTAAATAAAATTACCAAAAATTTCAAGAAACTTTAGTATATAACTTTTTCAAAAGAATCATGTTTAAAAATATGAATTTTTGTCTACAAAAACTGAAATTATAACATTGATAGAATTATTTTGAGTAAAATAAAAAATAAATATTTTTTTCTTTTCTGTGTTTCCTTCCTCTTACAATCTGTCTCACTTCAAAAAGCTGGTTTTCCGGCATCTTCATAGTGTAGATTAGCAGTTTTGTTCTCCTCTATATTTATTTTCTTATCTTATCCCCCCTCCCCCAGTATCGCTATGGGTGGATGACCTGTGCCTGGGTGGGCTATTCCCCAGGGGGAAAAAAGCTCCTCTATGATTAAGTCAGATGATAACAGCCCAGCACTTGTCACTCCTCTGTACTACAAGGTATCTTTGCATCAAGTGCTCATACACACTTGTATTAGTTTCAGGTAGCTCCAACATCTTTCCCAGGTAGATGTGAACTGATTTTGTCTGAATTATGTCCCGCAGCTGGAAAATAAGGTAACATCTCTGCCAGTGACCGTAACTGCTAACATAAAGTCACCCAGAGGAACAGAACACCATCATGATAACAGTGGAGGAACAGAACACCATCATGATAACAGTAGAGGAACAGAACACCATCATGATAACAGTGGAGGAACAGAACACCATCATAATAACAGTGGAGGAACAGAACACCATCATGATAACAGTGGAGGAACAGAACACCATCATGATAACAGTGGAGGAACAGAACACCATCATGATAACAGTAGAGGAACAGAACACCATCATAATAACAGTGGAGGAACAGAACACCATCATAATAACAGTAGAGGAACAGAACACCATCATGATAACAGTGGAGGAACAGAACACATCAAGTCGTGGATGGAACAAAGAATCAACATGATATAAAAGAACAATAGTGGTGCAAGAACCTTGTAAGAGTTGACAAGCCATGTAGGGAGGGAGGTGGTGTGTTGGAGGAGCACGGAGGCCACGGCATGATGCAGCAGCGACTGGTTACTCCGTTCCTCCTCCTCCACTAGATCTTTCAGTAGACTCCACCACACTTCACTCTCATCGTTCTCTCCTGTAACAGAACAATACTAGGGTAAAGGTGTTGGTCAGCAGCAGCTATGAGAAATACCGGACTTATTTACTTAGGGCTAAACTCTAACAAACAATGGTGGCAAATAAGTACTGTTGGGCCTTATCTTATCCACATCTAATTTATATTATAATGTTTCTATTGGTTAAAGACTATGATATCAACACACAACTGAAGAAACTAATGTGTGTCAACAACGCAAACAGGTGTCCTCCTAGGGTGTGGTCTACGATGAACACATGAACACACACGTACTCCTCCACCACATACACTCAATCAATAGTGTTTACCAAATAAGACAACCAAGTAAAGTGGTAAAAATATTGTATCATAACTTTTTTTATCAATATTCTGTCTATTACAATATACAGCAACACTGTACAGGATTAACTATTAATAGATATCTTTTGTTACTAACACCAGGTCACAGTACCAGGGATATTCAAACTAATTACTAACACCAGGTCACAATACTTTTGAAAGAGAATATTTTATTCCTAAACTGAATGATACTCACTGATAATTCCATTTTCTTCCTGTGTGCTACCAATGTTACGTGTGAGCAGAGGATGGAGACAGGCGTGGGCCAGACCCTTCAGGACAGGAGCCACCGGGTGCTCAAACAGCTTCGCTAGACGCACAGCCTCACGGAACAGTCGGCCATGAGTGAGCAGACTGATTGTGTCCGCAGCACTCAGAGGGCCTCCTGAAACACAAACACTTTAAAATGATACACTAAAACAGTTAACACCACCATTAACAGTTAACACCACCATTAACAGTTAACACCACCATTAACAGTTAACACCACCACTAACAGTTAACACCACCACTAACAGTTAACACCACCACTAGCAGTTAACACCACCACTAACAGTTAACACCACCACTAGCAGTTAACACCACCACTAACAGTTAACACCACCATTAACAGTTAACACCACCATTAACAGTTAACACCACCACTAACAGTTAACACCACACCACCACTAACAGTTAACACCACCACTAACAGTTAACACCACCACTAACAGTTAACACCACCACTAACAGTTAACACCACCACTAACAGTTAACACCACCACTAACAGTTAACACCACCACTAACAGTTAACACCACCACTAACAGTTAACACCACCACTCACCTGATGAAGGAATATCTGGTTGGGTCTTCACCATCTTCAACCTGGCATGAACCAGCTCATACTCTCGCTCAATGTGTGTCAGCTCCAACACCTTCACCTGTGGTCGCCGCCGGGTCAGTGGAGGAGCAACTGATGCGCCGTCGTTGCTGCGTTTTGGAGTAGCGCCGCCTGCGTCACAGAGGGTTCATTATGAAAAGTTTAGATAATTAATAAGAATATGAAATTTCACTGAGAAAGAATCATGACACAGATGAGGGGTAGCTTATCTAGCATCCCCTTACCTGGCAAGGATCTAAAAAAATATTATTGTAGCTGCCGGCAGCAGTTGGGTACTGGCTACTTGGTGACACAATTGGTGCAGAGCTCTTCCAGGAATGAGAGATTTCTGGGTAACAAGACGACTCTCTCAAAGCCAGATAAAATCCCCCATCCCCGGGATTTTCCGGGTATTAGGAAAATTTTCTCAGAATTTTCCGGAAAATGTGCGCCTCGGAAAATTTCAATTCTGGCTATCGGAGAGTTCCGAGTTTGAAGGATTCTAGCTAACGGAGATATTACTGTACAGCACTCTCTTTATCGACGGATTTTTTATGGACGGTTTCGATTATCGACGGATTATTTAGCCGGATTTTTATTTTGGCACCAAACAGCTTCTCCCAGTCCTCTCCTTGAACAGGGCTAGAGGCTACGTGTTTTTCGAATCGTTTTCAGTTAAAAAACTATTACATCACTCGTCTATTTTACCTAAACTGCGCCTGAATGAATATATTCTCGGAGATAAATAGTAGTTTTGTGGAAACGTGACGTATTTCAATGTAAAATAGGATAAAATACATGACGAAAACAAAAGACTTTACCTAAGCTTCCGATGTTCTTGAGATGTTACTCGTTTTTTTAATAGTTTTCGGTTAAAATTCTGTTATATTACAATGATATTCTATTCATACTGTGCTTGATATAATACATTCACGGAAATGTAATATTTTTGCTAAAATGACGTACGTATTACAGTGGAAAGTGGGATCAAATCGTGACGAAAACAATGACTTGCGCTTTCTTTCGGTCAAAAGATGTTACCGTAATCACTTTTCGAATGGTTTAGTTAAAAAACTATTGTATTACAATAATATCCTAATTGACTTGAATAAATATTACGATACCATATTTCTGAATATTTTCATTAAAATCCATCAAAATCATTTTCCTTGTCATCGTCTGCAGCACCAAACAGCTTCTCCCAGTCCTCTCCTTGAACAGGGCTAGAGGCTACGTGTTTTTCGAATCGTTTTCAGTTAAAAAATTATTACATCACACGTATATTTTACCTAAACTGCGCCTGAATGAATATATTCTCGGAAATAAATAGTAGTTTTGCTGAAACGTGATGTATTTCAATGTAAAATAGGATAAAATACATGACGGAAACAAAAGACTTTACCTAAGCTTCCGATGTTCTTGAGATGTTACTCGTCTTTTTAATAGTTTTCGGTTAAAATTCTGTTATATTACAATGATATTCTATTCATACTGTGCTTGATATAATACATTCACGGAAATGTAATATTTTTGCTGAAGTTACGTACGTATTACAGTGGAAAGTGGGATAAAATCGTGACGAAAACAATGACTTGCGCTTTCTTTCGTTCAAAAGATGTTACCGTAATCACTTTTCGAATGGTTTAGTTAAAAAACTGTTGTATTACAATAATATTCCCTCCTAATTGACTTGAATAAATACTTGAATGGAAATATACAATATTTTTGTTGAAACTACCCGCGTTTCAGTGTAAAGTGTTGTAATAATAAATGGTAAACAATTTGCCTTGGGCATCCGGATTTTTGGACTTTTACTGTACTCTACACTGTTTTGTTTACTGTAAGGACCGATGTTCACTTCAATAAATGAAATCGTAAGTTTGCTAGTATTTTTGTCCACTTATTATATTATTATTTATACACTATTATTTAAGGTTATGTGTAAAGGAAACGCATTAATGCTTAAAGGTACATTTATTCAACATATGCTAATAATAGTTAGAAAAATTACGTAACCATCACGGTATCGACGGTTTCTTTATCGACGGCCGTCTACAGAACGTAACCCCCGTCGATAAAGAGGGAGTACTGTATTCACAAGAAAATTATTAAATCTATATGTAACTACAAAGTATAACACAAATTGTAGTGTATGGCTGCCACTCCATTACTGAATCCTCTTAACAGGAACCTCCAATAGCCGGAATTGAAAAATTCTCGAAAATCGCTTCCCAGTACTCCAGAAATTCGGGATGAGGATATTTTTCGGTTTTGAGTCATCTCACACCCGAAATCTTTCATTCCCCGAAGTGCTCTGCACCAATTGTTACGCACTAATGGGGATATCACTTTACAGTATTCTCACAGTTTTTATAATTTTTCTACATTATATATAGTGTGTTCATAAATGCTTATTATTTTCGAAATCATATGAATTAATAACTGTAAATTATTGGTTAATTAATGAATAAAAAAATATTACATCAAATTTTTATGAAATAAAAGAATTTTTACTTCCATGTTGTTAGATGTTGTAGCACTTAGTAATGTTCCTCCGCGTCGCACTGAACAAGGCGCACTAAATCTTTTTTTAGTGGGAGTACGAATGCTCACCTCGTGACGGATGAGTGGTCACAAGGTTAGCCACACTGTGATGGCAGAGACACCATAAGTGCAACACTTTCATTTTTTCCTTTACACACAGGCAGTTCCTTACCACTAGGACTGCTAAGAGGGCCAACCACACAAACTAACTAGATGGGTCGGGGAAGCATCACACTATTACCACCCTCCACCTTCACCAGCAACACAAGGCATGATTCAACACTATCACAACACTGTTATCACACTTTACACACCCTCCACCAGCAACACAAGGCATGATTCAACACTATCACACACTGTCAATAAATTAAATCACTGTGAAGAATGAGAAATCAGTACAAGCCGAGAAAACAGGGTCAGAGTTATGTCCTGTGTCAATAAACACAAGGGTGACTGGTGTGGTCTCACCTAACCATGGAGGCAGTCTACATAGGTGACAGATCACACCGACATTGCCTCTGTGCGCCTTTGTATCTAGCATTCATGTGTAAATACGAAATTACTACAGTATAGTGTAATTTTTAGTTCCTACACAAATATGCATATGAACCCCCCCAACAGTGTTAACTAACGCAACACACCTCACCCATTCTGCCAGTCTTCCTCAGCTTCACCATCTGTTAACTTGGGTAGAGGTTTAAGAATCCAGGCTTGTTGAGGTGGATGTCGAGACAGTTGAGACAAGCCAGGTAACACGGCCTGTTGCCGCAGTCCCTCCCCAACACCTTCCACGTTGAGTCAGAGAGCACACACTCTCAGACATCACACAGGCAGCTGTAGGCATGATAATCCGTGACTGTACTGTACAACTTTATACTGCATACAGTTATATCAACAACAATCTAAGTTTATCAATAAATTCCTACCTGTTCCCTGTTTCTCATGGCTAAAAGCCTTCTCCACACACACATACTAGCCACTGTACCTGCCTGTGTTAAGACACTCCCTCTAACACACTGTCCACCTGCCTGTGTTAAGACACTGTCCATTAACATATGTTGTACATGTTGCTGACTGTCAAAGATGCTCACTTATATAACAGGAGTGAGACACACCGCTGGTCTACACAACACTGTGCAGGGTCTTACAGCAGTCATGTACTGGAGACTGGTTGAGCAGCCCAATAGATTGTTAGAGTAAACAATAGACTGTTAAAGACACATTACCCTTCTTATAGTTGTGTTTGTTGATGTGGAAGGCATACAGTAGGTCATAGTAGTTGTTGACGAGGATGTCGGCCGAGCGAGCACGGTTCTCCAAGATGGTGATGACGTCAGACTCCAGACTGCCATACTGGTAACCGACCAGTGTAGTGAGGCACCTGCACACACACTGCTGTATTATATTGTAACCTATTGTGTTGTAACCATTACAGCTAGACAGATATACACTACAGCCCTGGATTTGTTTTTCTTAATACTTGTCCTTGTACAATACCAGTATATAGTACAGTACAGTAAAGTACAGTTACAGCAGCAGCAAGTACAACACAGTACTGTACTGTACAACACAGTACAGTGCAGTTAGTATTAAAGATATATGCTTCACCTACAGTTCTATCTCTATCTAACATCACCAACAAATACAGCACATCACACCATCCAAACTTGTGCCCTGTACTGCAGTGTTGTGCCCTGTACTGTACTGTTTGCCCTGTACTGTACTGTGTTGTGCCCTGTACTGTACTGTGTTGTGTTGTGTCCTTGTACTGTAGTTGTGCCTGTACTGTACTGTGTTGAGCCCTGTACTGTACTGTGTTGTCCTGTACTGTACTGTGTTGTGTTGTGTCCACTGTACTGTGTTGTGCCCTGTACTGTACTGTGTTGTGCCCTGTACTGTACTGTGTTGTGCCCTGTACTGTACTGCAGGTTGTGTCCTGTACTGTACTGTGTTGTGCCCTGTACTGTAACTGGTTGAGCCCTGTACTGTACTGTGTTGTGCCCTGTACTGTACTGTGTTGTGCCCTGTACTGTACTGTCAGGTTGTTCCTGTACTGTACTGTGTTGAGCCCTGTACTGTACTGGTTGTGCCCTGTACTGTACTGTACTGTGTTGTGCCCTGTACTGTACTGTACTGCCCTGTACTACTGTTGGCCTGACTGTACTGTGTTGTGCCTTTGTGCTGTTCCTGTACTGTACTGTGTTGAGCCCTGTACTGTACTGTGTTGAGCCCTGTACTGTACTGTGTTGTGCCCTGTACTGTACTGTGTTGTGTTGTGTCCTGTACTGTACTGTGTTGAGCCCTGTACTGTACTGTGTTGAGCCCTGTATGTACTGTATAGGCCCTGTACTGTACTGTGTTGAGCCCTGTACTGTACTGGTTGTGTTGTGTCCTGTACTGTACTGTGTTGAGCCCTGTACTGTACTGTGTTGAGCCCTGTACTGTACTGTGTTGTGCCCTGTACTGTACTGTGTTGTGTTGTGTCCTGTACTGTAGTTGAGCCTGTATACTGTGTTGTGCCCTGTACTGTACTGTACTGTGTTAGCCCCTGTACTGTACTGTAGCCCTGTACTGTACGGTGTTGTGTCCTGTACTTACTGTGTTGAGCCCTGTACTGTAATTGTGTTGAGCCCTGTACTGTACTGTGTTGTGCCCTGTACTGTACTGTGTTGTGTTGTGCCTCTGTACTGTACTGTGTTGAGCCCTGTACTGTACTGTGTTGTGTTGGTCCTGTATCCCTGTACTGTACTGTGTTGAGCCCTGTACTGTATTGTGTTGTGTTGTCCTGTACTGTACTGTGTTGTGCCCTGTACTGTACTGTACTGTGTTGTGCCCTGTACTGTACTGTGTTGAGCCCCTGTACTGTACTGTGTTGAGCCCTGTACTGTACTGTGTTGCCCTGTATCATGTGTTGTGTTGTGCCCTGTACTGTACTGTGTTGTGCCCTGTACTGTACTGTACTGTGTTGTGTCCTGTACTGTACTGTGTTGAGCCCTGTACTGTACTGTGTTGAGCCCTGTACTGTACTGTGTTGTGCCCTGTACTGTACTGTGTTGTGTTGTGCCCTGTACTGTACTGTGTTGTGCCCTGTACTGTACTGTGTTGTGTTGTGTCCTGTACTGTACTGTGTTGGCCCTGTACTGTACTCGGTTGTGTTGTGTCCTGTACTGTACTGTGTTGTGCCCTGTACTGTACTGTGTTGAGCCCTGTACTGTGTTGTGCCCTGTACTGTACTGTGTGTTGTGTCCTGTACTGTAGTTGAGCCCTGTATTGTACAGTTTGTGCCCTGTACTGTAATGGTTGTGCCCTGTACTGTACTGTACTGTGTTCTGCTTGTTGAGCCCTGTACTGTACTGTGTTGTGCCCTGTACTGTACTGTGTTGTGTTAATTACTGTACTGTGTTGGCCCTGTACTGTACTGTGTTACCCTGTACTGTACTGTGTTGTGTGTGCCTGTACTGTACTGTGTGCCCTATCTGTACTGTACTGTGTTGTACCTGTACTGTACTGTGTTGTGCCCCTGTACTGTGATGTTGTCCCTGCTTACTGTTGTGCCCTGTACTGTACTGTACTGTGTTGTGCCCTGTACTGTACTGTGCTGTGTTGTGTACTGTACTGTACTGTGTTGTGCCCTGTACTGTACTGTGTTGTGCCTGTACTGTGTTGTGTGTCCTGTACTGTACTGTGTTGTGTTGTGTCCTGTACTGTACTGTGTTGTGCTGTACTGTACTGTCTGTGTTGTGCCCTGTACTGTACTGTGTTGTGCCCTGTACTGTGATCTGTGTTGAGCCCTGTACTGTACTATACTGTGTTGTGCCCTGTACTGTACTGTGTTGTGTTGTGCCCTGTACTGTACTGTGTTGTGTACTTGTGTGTTGTGCCTGTGTTTGTGCCCTGCTATACTGTACTGTGTTGTGCCCTGTACTGTACTGTGTTGTTATGCCCTGTACTGTACTGTGTTGTGTTTGCCCTGTACTGTACTGTGTTGTGTTGTGTCCTGTACTGTACTGTGTTATGTACTGTACTGTACTGTACTGTGTTGTGCCCTGTACTGTACTGTGTTGTTGGTCCTGTACTGTACTGTGTTTGTTGCTGTACTGTACTGTCCTGATGTACTGTGCCCTGTACTGTGTTGTGTTGTGTCCTGTACTGTACTGTGTTGTGCCCTGTACTGTACTGTGTGTGTTGCCCTGTACTACTGTTTGCCTTACTGTACTGTGTTGTGTTCCTTACTTCTGTGTTGTGCCCTGTACTGTACTGTGAGCCTGTACTGTACTGTGTTGTGTGTGTCCTGTACTGTACTGTGTTGCCCTTACTGTACTGTATGTCCCTCTGTCTGTGTTGTGCCCTGTACTGTCTCTGTGTGACCCTGTACCTGTACTGTACTGTGTTGTGCCCTGTACTGTACTGTACTGTGTTGGCCCTGTACTGTACTGTGTTGTGTTGCCTGTACTGTGCTGTGTTGTGCCCTGTACTGTGCTGTGTTGTGCCCTGTACTGTACTGTGTTGTGCCCTGTACTGTACTGTACTGTGTGTGCCCTGTACTCTGTGTTGTGTTGTGTCTATACTGTACTGTGTTGTGCCCTGTACTGCTTGCTGTGTTGTGCCCTGTACTGTCCTGTGTTGTGTTGTGCCTGTACTGTACTGTGTTGTGTCCTGTACTGTACTGTGTTGTGCCTGTACTGCTGTGTTGTGTGTGCCCTGTACTGTACTGTGTTGTGCCCTGTACTGTACTGTGTTGTGCCTATACTGCTGTACTGTGTTGTGCCCTGTACTGTACTGTGTTGTGTTGTGCCTTACTGTACTGTGTTGTGCCCTGTACTGTACTGTGTTGTGCCCTGTACTGTACTGTGCTAGGTTGTGTCCTGTATTGTACCAGGTTGTGCCCTGTACTGTGTTGAGCCCTGTATTGTACTGTGTTGATGTACTGTACTGTGTTGGTTGGCCCTGTACTGTAGCTGTGTTGCCCTGTACTGTACTGTGTTGTGGTTGTGTCCTGTACTGTACTGTGTTGTGCCCTGTACTGTACTGTGTTGTGCCCTGTACTGTACTGTGTTGTGCCCTGTACTGATGTCAGTCCTGTACTGTACTGTGTTGTGCCCTGTACTGTACTGTGTTGTGTTGTGTCCTGTACTGTACTGTGTTGAGCCCTGTACTGTACTGTGTTGTGCCTGTACTGTACTGTGTTGTGTTAGCCCTGTACTGTACTGTACTGTGTTGTGCCCTGTACTGTACTGTGTTGTGCCCTGTACTGTACTGTGTTGTGCCCTGTACTGTACTGTGTTGTGCCCTGTACTGTACTGTGTTGTGTGCCCTGTACTGTACTGTGCTGTGTTGTGCCCTGTACTGTACTGTGTTGTGTTGTGTCCTGTACTGTTGTGTTGTGCCCTGTACTGTACTGTGTTGAGCCCTGTACTGTACTGGTTGTGCCCTGTACTGTACTGTGTTGTGCCCTGTACTGTACTGTGTTGTGCTGTCCTGTACTGTACTGTGTTGCCTGTACTGAATGTGTTGTGCCCTGTACTGTGTTGTGTCCTGTACTGTACTGTGTTGTGCCCTACTGTACTGTGTTGTGCCCTGTACTGTACTGTGTTGTGTTGTGTCCTGTACTGTACTGTGTTGTAGTTGTGTCCTGTACTGTACTGTGGTGTTGTAGCCCTGTACTTGTACTTGTGTTGTGCCCTGTAACTGTACTGTGTTGTGCCCTGTACTGTACTGTACTG